GGTCTTAGTATTAGGGCAACTAATGGGCTTTAGTTAAACTGGACTTAACTTGTAAATATTAACCTCATGTAGGGGTAAATAATGGACTCTGAAGAGTAAGCATCTCCATGACCCAATGTTAATTAAGCTTACACTTACTGCCTTGGGATGAAAGGTGGGGTAAAGGTCGCTTGCCAGGTGTCTACACATTAATATAAGGGTCCCAAAAGACCCAAAATTTAAAGAAATATTATTTTTTTCTTATTTCAACTATTTTGCCATGCCTTTTTTTTATTTATTTTGTTTTTGGGCTGTGGAGAGTCCCTTTAAAGAAAAACATAATGATGTAGTAAATATATTTAGTAAAATATATAATCTCTCACCGTGGGAAATCTGTCAAACTTGTTAGATTTCAGGTGACTAGTGAGTCAAATGTTTTCATATTCGTACAGTTGATAAACCTTGTGGAAATGTTCAACATACTTTAGTTGAATAGTTTATCTTGTGTATTATGTTAAGAAAATAGCAGAATAAATGAATCAAGTTCAACTTATACCATTTGAATGGAAGGTTTGGATCACTATACATTATATACTTAAGATAATGCTAGTCTTAAGCACAATTATTAATGGATCGCAAGTAATTTCAGATAAAATGCTTTGACATCATCATATTTTTTTTTTGTTAGGATATTGAATTTCAGCATAAAATCACTCAACGAAGAGAGCTTGATAGAGATGTAAAGTACAGGGAAGCACTTTATTTCCTGTTGGGTTTGAATTTGGAATACAATTTCTTTGTCTTTTCCCAAGTTAATGTAAAAGAAATGATTCCCTGTCCGTAATATGTTATTTTGATTTAAGTTGTCATTTAATGTTTTATTTTTTGTTAACATTGCTCAGGCAGCTGCATTTGCCATTGTAACTTGTCAGAACATAACTCATCCCAGCTACTGAAGAAAACTCCCTCTGTATAACAAGATACTTCTGATTTAAATTACACTCGTAAATTTATTCAATTTCTCCGAATATATGAAGCATATCTACTATGGATCTCGTAAAATCTTGTTAATGAAAAAAGCTTTCTCAAGGGCTTAGTAGAATGTCTTCAACACTCTTGTTAGAAATTATTTTCACAAACACTGTGTACAGTGCTAAGTGAAACAACTCAATAGGTCATACACGTACAAACTCTTCTACACAAATTATATTCATAATACCTTTGAATAGTAATAAAGCACAGTGTGATTACATATGTATGTATGTGTGTATGTAAAGAGAATATCCACACAAGAAGAATCATATTTAATAGAATACACAGATCACTAAAGTGCCACAATTTCATTCGTTGATCAATAGCTCTTCCGACTTTGTGACCGTACATGACTCATGATGTTTTCCAGTCTATGAACTTAAAATTTAGGGTGGAAGATGTACCTCCAGAAAAGCTGTAAATTATGGACATTTTATTAAATAGGAAAGAGTAGGAATCAGTAAAAGAAACTTCTAGGACAACCACATCCAAATGCACATGACAGGGAAAATGTGCCTGGAAAAGGAAAGGAATAAAGCATGGTGGTAACGAGCCAGGGAGGAAAGATCTCAAGGTACCAAAGGCTTACAACTATTCCTCAATATGGCTCTCCTATAAGCATCCAAATTTACATATCGTCAGAACACAGGATCAATCTCAAAGATAAATAAAGCTGCAGTTTCTTTATTTTCTTCATAAAAATAAATACATAAGTTGGAGATTAGGGTGAACCATTATGGGGGTGACCATCACACTGGGAAACCAGGACCACTGGATAGTCTGTATTTTAACTGTGAATTCAGTTATCCAGATACATCTCACTTTTGTTTAAGTGTGGTTTTTTCGCCCCACCTATACATATACTTAGTGAAGACCTGGTCGTCTGTCCAGAAGAACATGTTGTGATCAGAACCTTCTGAATGAAAACTGCTACCTTTCTATTGTCTTGCTCAAAATGGCTACCTATAGAGATTGATTAGCTACACTTGGTCAAGGACCCATGCTTATGCTAGCTGAAGAAAGCTGCAAGATTAGTAAAGTTAAGGTAAAAGTGAGGTTTAGCATTCCAAGGTACATTACAGTACTGTTAGGTAATTAAAGCATAACGTTAGGACTACAATTAGGGTTTAATGAAGGAACTGACTTTAAATTGGGGCTATAGCTGGGTAAAGTTTATTAATGTTAATGTTAATGTTAGGGTTAGTACTATATTTAGGGTTAGAATTTGGAATTAGAATAAATTCATCCCTATCCTTAATTCTAACCATCATCGTAACCATTGTTTTCTAACACCCATTGCTGGATTAATCCTCCAAGCACTACATCACATCACTGTAACCTTAACTTACCTTCCAGAACATAATCTAGCAGTCCTTTTCAGCCATTGTACATGCAGATTCCCAAGAAATCGGATGCTTACACTCTATTGGCTATCAACCTCAGTAAGACAACAAGCAACAGCACAGGAATGTTGACTATACAGGCAAAGCTGAAGCAGTGGTGTAACTATGAGAATTAGTCTTTGATCTTTGATTAACCCCATTTGTAAAGTTCTGAAACTAATCAGTCAAGAATCAATACTGTTTAACATTCCAACTAACACCTCGCTGCTGCCTGCAAGTTTTATAATAAAAAAAATATTCTCTTACAAAACATCCGCACTTATTTGCTTTTAATGTGTATTCAATGTTTATAAAACAGTAAAACCGTAATGTGAACATCAATAGCACATCTTTTACATAGTCACTTGGCCTCTAAATGATTATCCTGGAAAAACAAATAAAAAGGCTAATTTAAGAAAAATACACTACATTACAACTCGAGGTCAAAGTCCAAACTATTATTTTGGGAAACGGGACGTTTTATGAGATGTTCATTATGAAAATATATCTGCATTGCTGCATAAAAAAATTAGATTTGGTGCATCTAGTGTGTATCAGTTAGTTGGGTTGTGATAAGTGTATGACTGTTTATACATCAGTGGCAACATCAATTAAATAAGGGTAAACATTGGTGCCTGTACCTGGTCAGATGTTCATATTTTTGCATATTCTGTAGTATTGCACCTGTGTTGCACAGAATATGCAAAAAAAAAAAAAATGTAATTTGTATTCTGTATGATTTGATGAGCTTCGAAAGGGCTACTCCAAACATTCTAACTACAACAGCTCACTGCAATGGTTTTCCTCTTACCTGGGTTTCACTGGACGCCAATCCTCCTATAAGGCAGTAAAAGTAACCTTGCTTCAATTAACCCTTTATCTGATACTTTTTTAAATAGTATAATAGCAATTGTTTGAATGTAATTTTAACAAAGGACTTATTTAATCATTTAAGATGCAATGGTAGCCAGTCTTGATATTTGAGGCTTTACATGAAGACAGGGCAAGTTAACATTAATGCCAAGTTACAACCAAGTTACAACCTTTCAGATGTGCTACTATAAGGTTAGTATTTTGAACAATCTCAGGATAAACTTATTTATAAGGTTTATCATGAATAGATATAAAAGAAGCTTTTTTGTTTTTTTTTACTGATAGCAAAGCTCAAGACCTTACTAAGAATCATTGGGGTTCTTAGTAATAGACTAACAGTGAACAGCTTACTCTGTAGGCAACTAAATGTTCAGCTGTTCCATCTCTCTCTAGATTGGGATAAAGTTGAAAACATTGCTTTATAGTTTTAATTTCAAATATGTTAGAAAGCAGTATAAGGATTTAAATCCATCATTGAGAAAAAAAAAATATTCAGTTACATTTTCTGCAATTCTTTCACTCTATCACATCTGCTTAAACATCATAGATTGCTTTAAAGACTCATGGTTGGTAATCTCCAAAAAAAATATAAAAAAAAAAGGCCCATAGAAATCTAAGGAAAAAGTTGAATTCCTGTTTTATGCTTGTAATTCTTGATCCTGGCAAATACTATATATCAAAAAATGTAGAGGGGCACTAATATACTCTACTATAAATGGCTGGTATTCAAGCCAACCAATCAGAGTGCATCATATAGCAATACGGTCTCTATTTGACTCTCTCTAATGATCCAGCATTTTACCAGTGAAGGACATCTAATGAAGTTGTTAGTGTTAAGACACCTCCAGTGTCTTTAGGCAAAACCGACGTTTAGTAAACCTTCCACGGCTGCAGTACAGTCTCCGTTCGCTTACTCTGTAACACACGAACCAAATGCAGGGAAAGCGGCAATCTCCCGATCGAAATCCACGAACGGCTCCAAACTCCCGAACGGCAATACACGAACTGCTGGTAACCGTCGAACAGTAATATTCCCCAAGCGGCTTTCGTTCCATCCAGCAGTCTCTAAACGTGAAGAATAAATCCCCCCAATAACGAGACAGAAGCTCCGCATTGAGGGTCAAACAGAATCTGGTTTTACTGTGGGCTACCTGCCCGTATTTATGCAGGTCTCCCACTTGGTGGACACTCCCCTAGGGGACCAAATGGGAGACTTAAACTACAGACAGATAGAGGGACATTTCAGACACACAGTCACATATTTTACCCACAGTGCATTATGATTCCCTCCCCTCTGCCCTGGAGTTAATTACCAAGTAACTCAATTAACTCCAGGACAAGGACAGTCGCCATCTTAGACATAAAATAATAAAAGACATAAAAATACATAACTACATGAAAACTGAACATTTCCCATTAGTATTACATGTCCCCAGATAGCCTGGATCTGAGTGCATATTATTAGCGAATAGCGCTCAGATCCCACACACATAGTTTAATCGCCATGGAGTCAAAGTTCTTACAGTCTTTCGGTATATGAATGACTCCATGGGAAGGCTATCTGGGTTAAGTCTTTTGTATGCTCTCAATCTCCCGAACGGCCGGTGTTCGCATGCTTTCGTGGAGGCAGCCAGGCGTTCCCTTGTTTCAGCGGTGTTCGGCAGAAAAAGTGTCCGTTTTCAGTTCCATAGAAATAGAGCCAAACACCGCTGGGCGTTCGCGTGATTTAAAATGGCCGCTGCCTCGTGGTCGACATACGAACGACGACCACCCTGAATTCGGTTTAATTGAGAAGTGTCTGCGGTTAACCACAACGTTCTAATTGGGATCACTTCGTTAACCAGCAGCACACTCCTCACTTGGGTGGCCGTTCGTTCGGCAGGTTTGTTCGGGAAAAAGAGTCATTCGAATGGCTGGGCTATAGAAACCAGCCATTCATACGAACGGGGGACAAACAGACGAACGGGGTAAAAATCCAAGCAGACAGATGGTTCTGTCACACGGCTCCCTCCTTGTGGGACACTCCGGCAGACCCGGCTTGACCCTGTGGCGGGTCAACTTGGGGATGACCGGACTACGAGGTGATGGAAACGTCTGTTTGTCGTGATAACCCATCTGCATTTCCGTTCAGCTTACCGGGTCTGTAGCTGATGGTGAAATTGTAGGGCTGTAGTGCCAAGCTCCATCTCAGCAGTCTCCCATTGTCTCCTGAGACCCGGTTAAGCCAAACGAGTGGGTTATGGTCTGTCACCAGGGAAAACGCTTGCCCATACAAGTAGGGACTTAACTTTTTCAATGCCCAGACCAAGGCCAAACACTCCTTATCCACTGCCGCATAACTCACTTCCCTGGGTAACAACTTTCTGCTGAGATATGCGACAGGGTGCTCTCCTCCATCTTCCCCGACTTGGCTCAGCACAGCCCCCAGTCCATACATGGAAGCATCTGTATGGACGAGAAAGCGTTTGTTAGGGACTGGGGCAGCCAAGACAGGGGCATTCACAAGAGCCTGCTTCAGTGCCTGGAACGCAGCTTCACAAGCCGGAGACCACAGGACCTGCTTAGGCAAGTTCTTCTTTGTCAGGTCTGTCAGGGGCTTAGCAATAGCGCTGTAGTCAGGGACAAAACGTCTATAGTACCCTGCCGTCCCCAAGAAGGCCAATACCTGGGTCTTAGTGGTAGGTGTGGGCCAGTTAGCCACTGCCTCTACCTTGGCTGGCTCTGGTCTCTGGCTCCCACACCCCACTCTGTGACCCAGGTACTGTACTTCAGCCATACCTAGATGGCACTTTTCTGGCTTCAATGTCAGGCCAGCGGCCCGAATTTTATCCAGTACTACCCCTACATGTACCAGGTGTTCCTCCCAGGACCCACTGTAAATCGCAATGTCGTCCAAGTATGCACAGGCAAATTCTTGGAAGCCATCCAGGAGTCTATCCACCATCCGTTGGAAGGTAGCCGGTGCATTTTTCATCCCAAAAGGCATGACCTTAAATTGGTACAGGCCAAATGGGGTGACAAATGCCGACTTGGGGATAGCATCCTCGGCCAGGGGGATCTGCCAGTAGCCCTTACACAGGTCTATGGTGGTCAGATATCGCCCCCTGGCAATACGATCTAGTAATTCGTCTACCCGGGGCATTGGGTAGGCGTCAGTGGTGGTCCGCTCGTTGAGTCGCCTGTAGTCCACACAGAACCGGGTGGTCCCATCTTTCTTGGGCACCAGGACTACAGGCGAGGCCCAAGGGCTGTCGGAGTGCTCGATGACTCCAAGCTGGGTCATCTCCTGTATCTCCTTCCGCATTCCTTCACGGACTGCTTCAGGGATACGATAGGGGGGCTGTCGTAACGGGGTCTGTCCAGGGGTCTCTACCTTATGCACAGCTAGGGTGGTATAACCTGGTTCCTGGGAGAACGTCGCCTGCTTCTCCCATAACAACTGCTGCGCCTGTACCCTTTCTGTGGGGTTCAACCGGTCCCCTAGCTGTACCAAGGTAGTAAGGTCAGTCTGGGGATCCCTTTCTAATAGATCGGGAAGGGGTAAATTCTCAGAATCATCTGCAGCTGGGGCACATACTGCTGCAATATTCTCAGGTCTCTCCTGGTACTCTTTCAGCATGTTCACATGAAAGGACCGCTGGATCCTCTCATCTGCACAGCTGGCTATCAAGTAAGTAGTGTCGCAGATCTGCGCCACCACCTTGTACGGGCCCTGCCAAGATGCCTGCATCTTGTTGGCCTTCACGGGTTTGAGCACCAATACCTTTTGCCCAACCTGGAAGACCCGCTGTCGGGCACCCTGATCGTACCATCTCTTCTGTCTCCCCTGGGCCGCCTGGAGATTCTCCCTTACCATCAGGGACAGTTTCTCCATGCGGTCCTGGAGTTCCAGAACATATGGCACAATGGGGATCCCCTCTTGCTCCGTCTCCCCCTCCCAGTGGCCTCTAATGAGATCTAGGGGTCCGCGGACCCTTCTCCCATACAGCAACTCAAAGGGGGAGAACCCAGTAGATTCCTGGGGCACCTCTCTATAAGAAAATAATAGATGAGGCAGGAATCTCTCCCAGTCTCTGCAAGTGTCTGTAAAGGTCCTCAGCATCTGTTTGAGGGTACCGTTAAAGCGCTCGCAGAGACCGTTAGTCTGTGGGTGGTAGGGTGAGCTAAGTAACGGCTTAATGCCACACACCTTCCACAGCTGCTGGGTGAGCACAGCGGTGAATTGGGTTCCCTGGTCGGAGAGAATCTCCTTAGGGAACCCGACCCTAGTAAAAATTCTAACCAGGGCGTCAGCAACCGTCTCTGCCTCTATGTTAGACAGCGCTACTGCCTCTGGATAGCGGGTGGCATAGTCTACCACGGTAAGAACATACTTCTTACCGGATGGACTAGCCCTGGCCAGTGGACCCACGATGTCAACGGCTATGCGGGCAAAGGGCTCCCCTATAATAGGCATCGATAATAGCCTAGTCTTAGGGTGGTCCCCCCGCTTTCCTACCCGTTGACATGTGTCACACGTGCTGCAATACATCCGCACAGCCTGGTTGAAGTTTGGCCAGAAGAAATTCTGTGAGATCCTAAAGGCTGTGCGGCGGGACCCTAGATGTCCAGCTAATGGAACATCATGCCCTATCCGCAGAATCTCCTGCCGGTACTTTGCAGGTACCACTAACTGGCGATTCGGCGGAGAGGCAACACTCTTCTGGGAAGGTTTAGGGATCCTATATAACCTGTCCCCCACCCACTCATACCGTTCCCCATCTACTCCTTCCTCTCCAGCATCTGCCCTGTCTTTGTACTTTTGGAGGGTCGGATCTGCCCGGGTTTCCCTCCCAAACCCCTCTGGGGAATCCCAGCTTAAGGGGACCTGATCTGGGGTACCAGTCGGGGAAGGAGATCTTACCTGGGTCTCATCAGCAAGTGGGCTGGTTCCGGCAGCACGGGTCTGGGCACGGGTGGTCACTGGGTTCACATCTGCAGGGCCCATCGGAGCATAGGCTGAAACCAAAGGGGCCAAATCGTTTCCCAGAAGAACATCTGCGGGCAAGTCCTTCATCACCCCCACATCCACATGTCTAGCGCCCATTCCCCAATCCAAATGTACCCGGGCAACAGGTAAGCGAAACACGGCACCCCCTGCTACCCTTACTGCCACAGTGTCCCCAGTGTGCTGATGATCTGAGACCAAGTTCTTTTGGAGCAGTGTCATCGTGGCTCCTGTGTCTCTCAGTCCATTTACCACTCTGCCATTCAGCTTCACAGTTTGCCGATGTTGCTGGCGATTATCCTGGTGAGCTGCTTGCACTGGGTCTGCCTCGTGTAGGATGCCCCAGAATTCCTCCTGCTCCAGGCAGTGAGCAGCAGGCTGAGGTGGGCGCTGATTTCCATTGACTGGTCTCCTCCAGGACTGAGCCTGGTTGGCACTGTTCAGTGGGCACTCAGGACGCTTGTGCCCCAACTGCTTGCACCCAAAGCACCGGATGGGTTGGGAATACTCACGGGCATTAAATCGGGCTGGCTGCACATAATTGTTAGCTGGTGGTGCGGCTGGGGTACGGTGTACTGGGGGTTGGTAGACTGAAGGAGCGGGTATTACTGCTGGTCGATACTCCAGTCTGGCAGGAGCTTTAGCAGCTGTACCATCCAACTTGCGGGCATTCATGTATTCGTCTGCCAGACGGGCAGCCTCGGGTAGGGTAGAGGGTTTTCTATCTCTGACCCATTCCCGGACCCCAGCAGGTAGTCTATCAAAACAGTGCTCCAGCAGGAACACTTGTAATACCTCCTCCCCAGTTACCGCTTGGCATCCTGCCATCCAGTGGGCTGCGGTACGATGGACTCTGCAGGCCCATTCCACATAAGAGTCCCCAACCAGCTTGTTGGTTTCTCTAAACCTCCGCCTGTACGCCTCTGGGGTCACCGCATACCTGGCTAGGAGCGCCTCTTTCACAGCCCGGTAGCTGGTGATCTCCTCCTCTGGGATGGCCCGAAACGCCTCACTAGCCCAGCCAGATAATTTCCCAGAGAGGATGGTGACCCATTCATCTGCAGGTACCTGATGTAGCGCACACTGCCTCTCAAAGTCTGCTAAAAATCCATCAATCTCTCCCTCTGTTTCCACAAAATTTTTAAATGCAGCAAAAGGTACCTTCTTTCTAGCAACCACATTATTATCGTAAGGTACCTCTGCTGCTGCAGCTCCTCTTTCCCGGGCTGCCTGTTGTGCTGCTACTGCTGCCTGCACACGCACCACGATGTGAGCTGAGTGGTTGGGGCCAAAATGTGCCAGCCTTATTTGCACTGCCCGGTTAAATTGTATTTCCTCGGGTGTTAAATCCAAGGTACTGGGCACGTTGACTCTTTCCATTCCCGTTGCTGCATCCATCTCCAGTAGCAAAGCAATAATCTCCCGTTTCTTTAAATTGCTTGCTGACCTTCCTCGGCGTTCCAATATGTCCTTCAGTGTAGCACACCTTAATTCCTCGTACTGCATGTCTTGTAGCTGACCTCCAGTGCTGTAGGATTCATCCCGTCGCTTGCCACCAATTGTTAAGACACATCCAGTGTCTTTAGGCAAAACCGCCGTTTAGTAAACCTTCCCCGGCTGCAGTACAGTCTCCGTTCGCTTACTCTGTAACACACGAACCAAATGCAGGGGAAGCGGCAATCTCCCGATCGAAATCCACGAACGGCTCCAAACTCCCGAACGGCAATACACGAACTGCTGGTAACCGTCGAACAGTAATATTCCCCAAAGCGGCTTTCGTTCCATCCAGCAGTCTCTAAACGTGAAGAAGAAATCCCCCCAATAACGAGACAGAAGCTCCGCATTGAGGGTCAAACAGAATCTGGTTTTACTGTGGGCTACCTGCCCGTATTTATGCAGGTCTCCCACCTGGTGGACACTCCCCTAGGGGACCAAATGGGAGACTTAAACTACAGACAGATAGAGGGACATTTCAGACACACAGTCACATATTTTACCCACAGTGCATTATGATTCCCTCCCCTCTGCCCTGGAGTTAATTACCAAGTAACTCAATTAACTCCAGGACAAGGACAGTCGCCATCTTAGACATAAAATAATAAAAGACATAAAAATA